TTATTATGCGATTAAATAGTTATAAGAGAGGCTGAAGAAGCTAAGAATGCCTACCACTTATTTAATATCCATAATTTTGAGCCGAATCGGGACATTCGGGGAGTAGCCCCCACCCATCCACCCTTAAATTAATACAAGTTTTACAGCACTTGCAGCACTACAATTAGATCATGTGTTCCGAACATGAGAGGTTTCGCTAGACATTTACATACAAAGAAAAGAAAGAGGAGAGAAGAGCACTCGCTATCCGCCCATGAGCTTCCGTTCTTAAGGACCAACCTCAATATAAGACAAGACAACATGTACCAGATATGAAAGACCCCCCCCCCCCCTCCACCCACCTATCTGTACTTTACTATTTCATCCAGCCCAGTTCTCTGTCGTGAACTAATGCCCTCTTTATAACCTCAATGGAACTTGACAAGAGATAAAACAAGCACTTTACATCAATGAACCACTACAGAAAGATTATTGCAGTCCACTCAATATCTGTCACAGAGCAGCGCATTTCTCTAAAGCACTTTGACATATAAACTTAGAGGTGCTATCTACACTATCACCTTAACCTTCGAAAGCCTAATGGCACGTGATGTTGTGTTACATTCCTAGACATATTCATATCAGACTGGCTACGACTTGTGTCCCAATTTTAAACTTTCTGATCATAACTGGCAGACATTCCAAAGGTCACCTTCACGAAGGAAACACTAAAGAAACTGTTGGCCTTATGTTCCAGTTTTTTTTTAAAATAGGCTTTTTCCTTAAAAGGGGCAATCCCCCCCAACCCCCCCCCCCCCCCGAAAAAAACCCACACACACACACCAAACCCTGTAAAACCAAATAAAATCCTAACTTTCAGTTTCAGTAAAGATATGAGATGTTGTTTTTTAAGTGGCTTCAAAAGTGAATATAGGATAATGGTGAAAAGACTCAAACACTACACCCCCCCCCCCCCCAAAAAAAATTAGATACTTTATGAATATGGATATGGATAATAAATAAATAAATAGATAAATAGATAAATAAATCAATAATTAAATAAATTAAACTTTTGTCTCACCCGGTGATGTCGAGCGTGTATCCTCCATAGTCGTAGACCTGCCGGTAGATGTGGCACACGGACAGGTACAGCATGGAGAACACAAACACAAAGGCATGGCTGAAGCGGCTACCGCCGTAGGCCATGAACGCATAGCTGACCAGCGACTGGACAAGCAGATGCCAGATCTGACTGGAGAGACAGAGACAGAAGAAGTGTCATTGCGAGCAAAATGATTTAAAGTTTTACACTGTTATCAACACTGTCGGGATCATTTTGGTTTTTAGATTAAGAGTTTTACAGCATTTGCAAGACAATTAGGTCATATTATAAGAGCCGAAGATTAAAGGTGTTACTGTAGAGTAATTTGTTTGCTGTTTCAGTAAAGACAAGCACACCGACACAAAAAGCATACATCACAGAGTTCAGGAACTCTCGCAAAAGAAAAAGCCGTCTCCCTCCAGGAGTCTCACAGCTGGAGGGGGGTAAAGTCTTGGCCACAGAGGAACATGACCACCTGTGATCGAGTATTCGCTCACTTGAAACGATAAGCTCTGGTGGAACCTCGGCTACTACGCTGACTATAATCTCACTTTCCAAAGTAACAACTTCACCAAATCCTGCAACCACAACTTGTGCATTTGTATGTGTGTGTGTGTGCGTGCGTGCGTGTGTGTAAGTGTGCATCTGTATATGAGAGGGGGTGGTGGGCGGGTGCAGCTATTCCACCATCTAAAAGCAATCAAGGCTTGCTTCCCACGGAGGTAGCTGTTACACAGATACCACTGTAGTAATGACTGAAATAGTAGCTAGAAAGAGAGTTCCAGTCTGGTACTAAGACTTACTATCCAAAACAGAAGAGGGTGAGCAGGACCCCGACCACTGCTTCGATGATGTGGCGAGTCTGTGCTCCAACCTTCTCCACTGAGAACAGACTGCGGAACGGGAAGGCGAACCCAAGCGCCACCAGCTGACACACCAGAAAGTTGATCTGAAAAAAAGGTGAAATGGTATAGATTTAAAACCCCAAGTCAAACATTCATCTCCGAAAGGATTAAGCCAAATGGGAAATTTGTGTAAAGTAAAGTGCCTTTTCCAAGGATGCAACGTCGAACAGATCTGAGGCTCGAACCTCCAAACCCACAATCTCACGATTATGAGTCCAGTTGCCTAACCATACTAGGCCACCGACATCACTGAAGTTGATTTAAAAACAGAAACAGTCTACAAACATAAAATAGTAAAAATTAAAATAAATTAAAATAAAATAAAATACCTGTACTATTTTTATTGAAATTACAAGGGAGTCCTAAGTATTTTAAAAATCAAGTTAGCAGAACAGTGGGTTCTGAATTCAACATGCAAATTTCAGGAAACTAGAGCCATTTCCAAAGTATTTTGTACTTTCACATTATACGCATCAGCTGCAGTAATAGATACAATCATTTGTCTGCTAAACTGATGACATCCAATAATACCAGCTGGCACAAGGATCTCATTATACTAACTCTGGCCCTGAGCAACATGTTGCTGATGTAAGCTCTCTGAGGTGCCACATGCTATATAAAAATGACAGCTGGTTGTCACAACTCACGTATAAGTTGACAACAACGGAATATAATTAATGTAATGACAAGCTAGATCCAGTTTCTGCAAAAGCACAGGAGTACGTTCATGATAATCAATGACAAAGCAGTGATTTCTTTGAGAGGACACATTATACATAACTTTTCTCTTTAAAAAAAAAATTTTAAGCAAAAAACAACAACAATAACAACAACAAAAGAATAACTAGCTCCATTTGCTCTACTGAGTCAGGGGGAAGACTTACAAAACAACAAGAAAACATAGTATAAAGGAGAAAAATCTTTGAATAAGAAAAGAAAGGTCATCGATAAGATGACTCTCATTTAGCAGAGGTAGGGACAATGAGACACTTTGAAAGTCAGACGGGAACAACAGAAAGAACAGTAACATAATAGTCCCCTCCATCCACCCATATCAAGCAAAAAAAAAGGTTCTGAAATGGAAAGGTTGGGGGGATAAAAAAGTGAAACTATTACCCCCCCCCAATTTCCTTCCAACTCATCCAACAAATATAACAACAGCAACAAAAATGAATATCAATAAAAATCATGATAATGATAATGACAACAAAAAAAAGAATCTGACCAAAAGACAGTCAAACTTGTCCAAAACCTAATCCCAAGTGTGATCGGTAGCCACATTGATATTCTTTTTGCGTTTATATGTTTTTCAACAGATTATAAGTGTACTATTTGAAAGAATTGTTGTACATTAAATGGGACAGTACGCATAAAATTTTGATTCAAATCTTATTTTATTGTGAAGCACTTGGAGCCACCAGGGAGTGGATGCTATAGACGTGATCTTTATTATTATTATTATTATTCTTATGGGAGCCAGAAAAAAATTCTCGTCATATATATATATACATTTCCCATCATGGACACAAAAATTTAAGGGGTGGGGGATACAAAGGGCCAGGCATAAATCTGGTAGGATCAAGGATGCCTACCTATTCAGTTGGCAAGCAGAGGTCAAAATTTCACACCTCCCAAGTACTATCCTAGTCACTCCGACGGTATGTTGACATTCTTGCTGATCCATTGCTACCAGAGCTTGCATTTCAGTAAGCCCACTTTTGACCAATCAAATAGACCAGAAACGATTGAACACCTCCTTTGTTTCCACTCTTAGTCCTAACCATCGATGTAAGAAGCAATCAACCAATTATATAATGCCATACCTCCTCCTGCATATAAAAACGATTCTGGAAACTTTTTTCTCTTGCTTGGCCAAACAATATGGGCAGCAGGCATTGTTCAAATTTCACTCTTCTAGCTACCCAAAAAATTTCTATGCCAGGGCATCATTTTCAAAACAAGCAGCGTTGAGACTTTACACCATCTGTACAGTTCAGGGTTGACATGGATGCTTACATGGGTGGTATTTAAACAGCTACTCCAAACCACATCCCTTCCCCACTACCTTGACTAGCAGCATGGTATAAAAGGTTAAGGAACCAAACTAGGGAGTTCCGTTTCAATTAAAGGTTGAGCAAGCATGGTCAAAATCCTCCAAAGGAAAGGAATTTGTCCGTTGCCAGGTTGTGAAGGTTTCTTGTGAAGAGAAATATAGAGGAATTCGTTTATCAAGGGGGGGGG